TTAACTTTGCACTCTGTGATAACATGAGCATTTCAGAGATAAGTGCAGATATAGTCACTGGACTATGTCTGTAAGTTCAGCTCATCACATTTCTTAAAGTTATTTAAAAGTTTTCTTTTAAGCTCCTAAGCAATATATCCAAGCATGTTTAGCTCTACACATACCAATTTGTTTCACCTGGATGTTTTTTTGTTGTAGCCCTGTTTCAAAGCCACCTGATCCCACACAGATGGTTATTTTTGCATGTCAGACAGGAGCTGACTCATTCCTCTACAAGTAGGGGGTCCTTGTCCATGGTAAGCTCTGAAATGCACCAGACTCTCTGATGTCTGGCTTGTAAGACTATCCTGCAAGGTTAAATACCATTCTCAGAGGTTTGAGATGTTTAGTTAGATTTTCCTCATTTCCTTTACAGGGTTTAAGCACTTTTTTCGCAAACTGTAGCTGTTTTTGAGGCTTACCAATCATTTGCATCTTGTGGTGGAGTTAGGCTTTAATTTAAAGTACTTAGTGAAGTAAAAACTGCAATATTCAAAGTAAATAAAATATGTTGCATACATGTCTTACAAGCTCCAAAAGTCAGTGTTACAGCTAGCTATTACAGCTAGACCTGTATAGTCACACTCCATGTGGGAAAGTGAATATGCACCATCATTAGCTTAAACAGGATTTGGAGCAACATATGCAGCCATCCAGATGACGTCTTTTTCAGGGAAGGCCTTGCTTATTTCAGCAAGACAATGCCAAACCACATTCTGCATGTATGACAACAATATGCTCCATAGTAAAAGAGTCTGAGTGCTAAACTGGCCTGCCACTGAAAACATTGGGTTCATTATAAAATGAAAAATATGACAAAAAAAGCCTTGAACTGTTGAGCAGCTGAAACTCTATATCAAACAAGAATGGAAAAACATTTCACTTTCAAAATGACAGCAGTTGATCTCAGTTCCCAAACACTTGCAGAGTGTTGTTAAAAGAAGAGGGGATGCAGCACAGTGGTAAACATGCCCCCGTCCCAACTTTTTTGAAACGTGTTACTGGCATCAAATTCAAAAAATTCAAATCAAATTCAAATCATGTATTTTTCAAAAAGCAATAAAATTTTTCAGTTTTAACATTTAATATGCTGTCTTTGTACTTTTTTGATAAATATAAGGTTTAAATGATTTACACATCATTGCTTTCTGTTTTATTCACAGCTTCCTAACCTTTTTGGAAACAGGACTATAGAAATTACAGAAATTCTTTATTAACGTGTGCTCCTCTGTGGTCTGTTAAATTTGCTACTGCTCACCAGTGGGTTCTTGCTTTTAGCAAGATGTACCAGACCATTGATTTTGACACACCTGATGATTTCTCAGTCTCTGATTTATGCTGATGTTTCAGCCTCATTTTGGCCTGTTTTACTGACACTGAGATTTCTTTCTCCGGTTCTTTGAGAGTAAGGAGCGCTCTTCTTCCTCTTTTGCATGAACAAAAGATTTTTGCTGTTAGACCAAAACCTGGTATCTCCAAATTGGTAACTTTGTAGGAAAAAAAGGAAAAAACAATTTTAACGTGTAATAGAAGTTAATGTAACAAGATACCTACAAAGTTTTCTGACATTCTGCACTTTAACCTCGTAGTCCCTGTATCATTTTAAATCCAGTGTGCTGGAGTACAGAACAACAAAACAACAAAACTAAGTCTCTTTCCAATTACTTACATAGCTCCACACTTCATCATAATGCACCGAGGGCCAGCAATCAATTCAGATTAAACTAAAAGCAATTAGCCACCGATACGTTGTTTTTCATTTCATGCACAAAACTTAATCATATTTATCTCTTATTACTTTGTGGAAACAGTCTTCTTGGAAATTAGATTTTTGTTGTCATTTAATGACTATGACGCAGCACAGCAGTATTAAAGTTATCCACAATGGGCTTAAATGCATGTTTCTGAAATCACTGTTATTGTTGATAAGCAAATGACTGCATGCCTGAGAATGTTTTTGGGCATTTAATACTGTGTTAAAACAGCATACTGTGATGTTTCAAGAATGTGTGACGTCTGGGTTGGGTATCATTTTTACAATCGAAAAGACAAAAAAAAGAAAGCAAAATATGAACATGTCCGCATGCCTCCTGTCCAGTTCTCCAGCACCTCGTAAAAACATGGTCTGCATACCACACCACCACCATCAATTACACCAGTGAGTCTTAGTTCAGTTCCTTTGTAGTTTATCTGCTCTGGAGGGATTTGATTAAAATGATGTGGTGCAGTTTACAGTCGTTTAAGTTGCTTTGCTGATGTGCCTTGCTAAAGAGGGAAAGATAGAAAGAATAGGGGAAAGAGAGAGAGAATACAGGCTGAATGTGTTTCATTTGTTTCCTTGCTCTTAGTAAGTCTGCAGTCTTAATCCTGTTCAGGTTAATCCTGTTCTTGCACTTTTCATTCGATCCACATTTTAAGGTACACAGACTTTTACATTAAGCTCCTTATACACAGTCATTTGCACGGTCAAATTACATGTTTGGTTGATTTTCTAAGTAAAAATAAACTAACGCATCCTCTACATAGAGCACACTGCATATTTCAATGTACAATTTTAATGTACAATTACTGTTTATTTGATAAATTTAGCATTTTTTAGAAAAATATGTTAAAAGATGTGTAAACAGATTTTCACTTTAAAAAAGATCAACAAAACATGTAATTAGGAGTTTTCAAACTTTTGCACACATATTTGAATAGGTATGGAATATTTTCTAGAATGTTAACTAATTAATCATAAAATACCTCTATTTACTACCCTTCTGAATAATTAAACATACAAATAAGTAAGCAGCCCCTCCATTGGTACATGGTCAGGGCTTGGCCCACATTGTCTGGCTGCAAGTGCGAGTGTCTTTAGACAGCTAATTGGAGTTGGCTTCGGACAGTGTTACATTGCATTAATGACACAGCAGCCCTGGCCATGGCTAATGTAAGCTGTATAAACACTCTCAGGTATTCAGCATGGATAACGATCCCTATTAAAGGAATAGTATTCCTATTAAAGGAATACTCTGGTGTTTATCAATCTAATCTCTGTTTGTCACCTCTGAAGCCTGCAGTCGATTACCATGGACAATAATGCCTGCATTTTCCTGCGCTTGGTAAAACAACAGAAACTGCTGACTCTAAACATTCTTATAATAGAAGGCAATGGGCAGCTGCTTCAGCATGTTGACATTATTGTTTTTTTGGTAATTGAATGCACACTACAGATACAGCAGATAGAGATTAGGTTTAAAAGGCTAGAGTGCTCTGAATCATGCGTTTATAGATCGATTGACCAAATTAGTTCAAAGTCAAACACATAATATATTTTTCATTAAAACACAAAAAAGTTTAAATATGTCAGAAAAAATATGTTAAATAGATCATAACATAATTCTAAGGTCTGGAATATTTGAGGTCTGACCACTTAACAGTTTTCTATAGTGGGCCCGCAGTTTGACATAACTGGTTAGAGTGGTCCATATAGGTATTCTGCTGTTGCTGACATAACGCTGTTGTTGGTAAAGCTATGGTAGTGCTTTTTGGTTATGATCTCAAACCTGACTGCAATTGTGAGGCTCAGAATACTGTTGAAATTAAAGTGGGAGAGCATTAAAAGTCCAAAACAGTACCACCAGCAGGTATCTGTTGGTGTCTAGAATGTAGATGCTGATAACAATTGTTCATTTGGGGTGGGAGTAGCTCCCCTGCAGAAACTTTACAGAGCCAGAATTCATAGACCAGCTTTTTCAGCCCTGCAGCCTCCTGCTTTCCCTGCAGCGTTTGGTTGTGTATCTGAGTGCAGATAGGAAATAACACATTCTCACTGACTCGCTCAATATTAGTTGAAATGCACATTTGCAGATGTTTAATTCATGCTTAATCCACAACCTCAACCATGTCTTAGTCTGGTGGGTAAAGCACTTTTAAACCCTTAAAATCCCAGCCTTATTACAAATTAAGACTTATTTATCAGTAACTATGGGGACTGCGAATGCAAACTGGTTGAGCTATTCTTAGATTATAGACGTGTATAATAAAACTTTGGGCCTGCTGGTGGTCCCTGGCCATTTAAGGGGTATCATTAATTGATATTGTCAGTAATATAATATCTAGAATCTGTTTATTTTATATAACACTAGATTTTGATTGTGTGTAGTGGTCTGCCATTTCTAACTGCCAAGAAGGTTCAAACACTGAATGTTAGCAATTTTATCTAATACTGACAAAATAAAAGTTATGACACAAAACAGAAGTTCTCTGTTTTGGCTAGACTGAAGGTGCGTTGCATTTACTTAGCACTGTTAACTATCAGTTAAAACTACTTTACAGTCATATGCAAAAGTTTGGGCACCCATCATCAGATGATATGTTTTGTTGACTGAAGTACACATCCTCAGAGAGCACATCTATGACCATTTTATTGGACAATTACTGTTTATTTGCTGAATTTAACATTAAAAAAAATAAAACATAACTTGTTTTGCCTGTGCATATATTGTATGTTACATTTTTTGATTTTCCATTTTTCCCCCAAAACAACCCCAAGTTGTAGAGAAAGTGTTGATTTATTTTCAACTTATTCTAACTTAGATATTATTTTCTAGCTGCTCTAAAACTGTAGCAAAGTGTGGATTCTGCCATTTGTTTTTATTTATTTATTTATTTTTAAGCTTTTGTTTGTAAGTCAATAAATAAATATTCAATTAAATACTTATTTTTAGGCCAGATTATGCATGCATGATTAGTATGTTAGGGGCCCCAAAATGCCCCTCGAGCACATACTTGCAGACCACTGCTGTATGTACTGTCTACAGAAATTAAAATCTGCAGTAAAACTGTGCCACCTCACCCTGTGTAGTGTAATTGACTTTTTATCTTTGGAGTTATTGTTTAAAGTTTCCATGTGAATTTTTGAAGTGCTGTATATTTGACTTTGTCTTTCTGTCGCTTGTTCTCTCCACCTGTCCCAGCCTGATGAGTTAACCAATGCCCTGGAGATCAGCAATATCGTCTTCACCAGCCTGTTTGCCCTGGAGATGCTCCTGAAACTGTTGGTGTACGGCCCTTTCGGCTACATCAAGAACCCTTACAACATTTTCGATGGCATTATTGTGGTAATCAGGTGTGTGTGTGTGTCTCAGCAATCGCAGTTTAGAAACACTCCATCAGCATCGCCGAGGGTGCGTCATTTTTCCGCGTTCATCTTCATTATTCCGACGCTCTCTGGCAGTTACCTCACAATAGTGGCACCCTGACAAATTGCAGCCATTACTGAGTGATGTGACATCTGTTAGCTGTTCAGGCAGATGACTGTCAACTGTCAGAATGACAATTTCAATTTCTTATTCGTCTGTTTATGACACTATGACACTATTGCATTTGCCTCATATATTTGAAATCCCTGAGGTTTTAAGATATTACTGTTTATCCTGGCTACAAGACTGTTTTGGAAAAGCATGTCATCTTGGAATGATATATCAGTCTTAAAGTTAGTTGGTGTGCGTGCAAGTGTTAGTTTTTGTTTTTTAGCACATAAATGTCTTGATGACATAGGAAAACCAGAGGAAAAAAAGAGTAACTTAACTGAGGTTAAGGAAAAGTATGACTGCACTGTGTAGGCAAATGTAATCGATCTAAAGATATATTTTAATAAATAAAAACAACAGAAATGGGAAGCAGAATCTAGAGTACATGTGTCCATGTAATGCACCTGAACATTAAGGATAACTGGATTCTGCAAAGGAGTCGGTACAACACCTGTCTAAAAAGACTATCAACAGTGTTCAGCAACACTGTGGGGATTTTTATAGCTCACAGCAAGTCAATCTGAGATACATGGAAAATTGTGTAAATTAGATTTTTTTTTGCCAAATCATTCCTTTAAGATTAGGGTTGCATATTGCTGCTGTCAGCAGAAAACCTTGTATCTCCATTCTTGTCATTTTTCAGTTTTTGACATAATTTGAAAATGCTTGTTGCCCTTTATATTGTTGTTAAAATTCATAAAAAATGGACCAAAAGAAATGACCCAAAATGACTTTGAAAAAAAGTCTGGTTCCATTGACTTACATTAAAAGTAAGTAGGTTTTTTCCTTCTCCATTTTGGAGATATGAGGTTTTATTCTGCAATATATAATACATTATGGACTTATATGTATGACCGTGATGTATGTCCTGACATTGCATAAAAACAAACCTGATTGTGTATATTGTACATGTGTATTGCAGTGTTTGGGAGATTGTGGGTCAGCAGGGTGGTGGTTTGTCAGTGCTGAGGACCTTCAGGCTGATGCGGGTGCTGAAGCTGGTGCGCTTCATGCCCGCTCTCCAGAGGCAGCTGGTGGTGCTGATGAAGACTATGGACAACGTAGCCACTTTCTGCATGCTCCTCATGCTCTTCATCTTCATCTTCAGGTCAGAACAAGGGCGAGGGCCAGAGGTATAAAAAGTGAATGGCACTTTATTTGTAGGCTGCCTACGTAGGGACTTCATAACACATGCATATAAATTGAATAATGTATTTTAAAAACAATGCTTGAGTATTTATGAACAGTTTATGTCAGCATTCACAAGATGACAAGAGATGTTTCATGAGATGTTAAATATGTATTTATTGTTTATGGATGTGTTATAAAGTGCCTATGTAGGTCATTTTCAAATAAAGTATTAAAGAAAGCAAAGTAAATAATACTCAAAAAAATGTGAGATTGCACTCAAAGAAATCTGAATTCTGTTTAACAAAATAATATTTCATTCAAAAAAATTACCTTTTTGCTTGCATACACTTAATTCAGCATGTTGTCAAACATCTTTTCATATTTTAAGACTTCTGTTTACAACAAAACTAAATCCAGTTATTTCGTCTAGATTTATTTGAGTGCAAGCCAATGCACTGCCTTGAGGTTCATGCTGCTCATTAATGAGATTTGTAGGGGCCCTTTTTACTTACAAACACTGCTAGATAAACCAATGCAAACCGTTGCCTTCATTTTTTATAGAGCAAAAGTCAGTGAGTTACAATCATGTAGTTCAAAGCAGTGCAGTGATTGCTGGTCACAATATTGAATGAGTGGGCTAAAAACAATCACACTTATCAATATCTCACACACTGTAGCTTTACATTTGGGAGCCCATTCCCAACCACAGCAGTAAATCAATGGAATGAACTGTCAGGCTAACAACTGGCCACACTTAAATGTTTAAATGTTGATCTGTACAATTAGCTAATGCCTTAACAAGCTAACAGCAGCACTTCATAGCAGCACTGCACATTTTATCAACTACAACATAAACAGAACATGACAAGATTTAAGGTTACTTTACTGAAGCACTCTGTAAACATTAAAGCAATGTACAAATTCACCGCCTCATCATCTAAGTTGCTTATTCTGCTGGGTCGCATGGGGTGCTGGAGCCTATCCCAGCGCTCATTGGGCGGAAGGCAGGAAACACCCTGGACAGATCTTACCTGAATGTCTGTTTCAAGCAGTGGAAAACTTTAACTGTCTCTGTTGTCAGCTCTGACAGCTGCTAAGGCACTCCTGTTAGTATAGTGCTAACATAATACTGCAAATCCCCTAAAGTGTCTTTTGGAAATGAGCATTATTGCAGTAATGTAAATCGCTGTAAACAACATTATTTTACAGCGTCTTTGAGCATGTCTCAGCCAATCAGATTTCAGAACCAGACTGACCCGTCCCAACAAGTATTTGTTGTAGACTGTGGGAGAGCCAAGCTAGGCATTGTGGGCTTAAGCAGTATAGCAGCTTAATCAGCAGTCTAGCCTCACTATTCCATTTATACGAGCCACCCCAGTTCATAGTATTCACCTTGCTGTCAACTGTAAATGCATTACTCTAAGCACTAAAATTGTATGACATGAATAATTGTGAGAAGCAATAATCTTTCATTCTCTTTGAAACAGTATTTTGGGCATGCACCTCTTTGGATGTAAGTTTGGTTCTGAGAGAGATGGTGACACAATGCCGGATCGCAAGAATTTCGACTCTTTGCTCTGGGCCATTGTCACAGTGTTTCAGGCAAGTCCTCGCAGTGCAGAAGCACTATTTTTGTAAAATAATGTGAATGATGCCTTGACGTGAAATTGGTTTTGTGTTTGTAAAGTAAAAAGTAAAATTCTGCCAAAACAATTTTCCATTTATACAAAGTGTAGTCGACTGGCCTTGATGTGTTTAGTGTCATCATGCATTTGATTCGAACTATTGGGTACTTAAATAATCTCTAGCAGACTTAAGTATGTGAAATCTTGAAGAAGCAAACTTCTGACACCAAACATGTCTTGGTTGATTGACTACATTTGCTGTGCGGGTAAAGTAGTATTTGGTTTTAAATGTATTTTTAAAACTACCATTTTAAGTATGTACAATAATGCGCAAAAGTCAGAGGCCTCCATTCATTTATTTAATTTCCAGTCAAAAGAGCCATTAAGTAAAAGTCAATCATTTTTCAGGAGATATTTCTGAGGAGATCAGATGTAAGATGGTCTATAAACTCTTAGAAGTAAAGATACTTGATTTTTTGTTCATCAAGGTACAAACAATGTAAATGTACCCTCAAAAGGTACAACAGCGGTTTTAAGATCGTTTTTTCCCCCAGTGGAAAAGTGCATATTTGTACCTTTTCATAATGTAATGTTTTAAAACAGAACAATAAAATAAAAAGCCTGGAGACGAGACGGGGTGTGTGGAAAATATAATATCAATGAATTATGGTAGAATTATGTTCCCTGACTAAAGGTACTGAGATGTACCCTTGAGGGTACCACCCCAGTGACAAGAGGGGTACTGCCCCACTGACAGTTTCATACCTTTATTTCAGAGAATGCATGCATAAGAAAGATGAAAGGCAATGGAAAATAAGTAGAAAAAAGCATGTGTTTCCAAAACTGGAGTTCAAAAAAGTATTAAAAGATATAAAGAAACTGGGACTCCTAACAACCATAAAAAACCTGGTAGACGGCCAAAACTGTCAGCATCAGACAAATTGAAAAAAAATAAAAATAAAGAGCGATAGGAGAAAATCAAGCTCCACTCTTGCTTCAGATCTGAAAAAACCCACAGGTGTTTCTGTTCATCCTTCCACTGTGAGAAGAGAACTCAAACTAAAAAAAGAACATTTTTTAAATCAAACAAAGAAGCTGCTGGTATTCTTAGAACAATGGGCTGACCTCCTCAGGGTCCAGGCTTCAACGTCACTGAACCTGTTTTGGATTATTGGATCATGAGAAGCAGAAAATGCAACCAACTTCTAAGACGGAACTTTCAAGATGTGGAAAATTATGCCTGCAAATTTGTGTAAAAAACTGAAAGTTTTATATTAAATTTAGTTAGTCAGGCTTCTGTGTAATGTTCAGCTGTATATATAGCTGCTTCTTTCCTGATATTGACTAATAAATAACTTAATTGTATAAATTAATAACATAAGTATTTAATTGCTATTTTGACTGGAAATGAAATAAACAAAGGGTCATATGTGACTTTTGCACAGTACTGTACTCAGTAGTGTGATGATGAATGTAATGTAATATAACTTTCCAACCTGCTATTAGATTCTTACTCAGGAGGACTGGAATAAGGTGCTGTATAATGGCATGGCCTCCACTTCTCCTGTGGCTGCTCTATATTTCATCGCCCTAATGACCTTCGGAAACTACGTCCTGTTCAACTTACTAGTGGCTATCTTAGTGGAGGGCTTCCAGACTGAGGTAGGACGGTGGTTTGCACTGCATGCCCCCATGATTACTCACTCCTCCCATCTTTTTATGCTTTTTGTTGTCTTTCTGTCTTCTCTTTCTGCACCATTCCCTTCTTTCGTCTTGCCTGTCTTTTCCATTTTTTCCATTCCTGTCCAGCAGATCAGCTTCCAAGTCTGTCCTCTCCCTCCTCACTATTCTTACACCTCTCTCCTCTTCCTCTCCCTCTTCTCTCTTGCCTCTTTGTCTAATGGTGTACATTTTTCAGCAGGCAGTGATGAGTTCCTTGTTCTGTGTTGACTGTGGGAGCATCGTTTAAAGAACCATGCGATAAAATCAATCCCATGCCAGCTCTGTGCTCCGCTCACCTCGCAGCGCTTTGTCTCACATTCTTCCCTCCATTTCCACCTTTCCCTTTTTCCGTGCTCTTACGCAACGACTTATCACCCAGCGCATAGCAACCATTCCTTCGTGACAGGTAGTCAGACACAAAGAAAACAAGGAAAGAAAAGGATAGCCCCTGGATAAATCAGAAGATATGAATGTGATACCTATGTATCATTTTTTGGGTGGAGGGGCTTGTCTTTGAAAAAGAGACACAGACTGGCTTCTGCACTGTTTTAATTGAACGCCATCTCTCTAGCTGCAAGCTGTAAAAACACGAAGGCTTTGATCTTCTCTCTATGGAGAGGCAACGATGAAGGGCACATTTTTAACATTTAACAGTACAGTGGAGCTGGAATTGCACAGAGGAAAAGTCTGACTGTCAAACAATTTGTCAGCCCTTCTCAGCAGCACTTCTAGAAGTATTCTGTTTGAATTAATAAAGCACATGCAAAAATTCTTGGCGTAAGAAAAACCACTACAGTATGGAATTTATTACAAGCCAGACACTGATCACATTGCTGAAATTACTGCTGCTAAGTATTTTAGCATATGCTATGCACTCAGTCTGGACCTTAGATGGTAAAGTAGCTTTTTCTTCTGGTTTTTCAGGAATATATGTAACATTTGTACAGAAGCCTTGAAGGATATTTAAAAAAAATTGAATGTGTACACCTGAGTCTAAATTCCACGTTATTTTTTTTTCTGCCTGTATACCATACCAAACATCTGAAAAACATATTTTGAGTATTTTTATAAGCACTTTCATAATTTCAGCTATCAAATCCCCCCCCAAAAAAATAAATAAAAATAATAATAATCCCTCAATTTTTTCACTACTGTATGTGGCTAACACTTAATATGTTACACATAGCTTTGACTAGCAGGGGGCATTTTTTTTCCCTAACCTGTCGAAAAAAAAATAACAATAATAATAAATAATAACTGGGGAATTAATGGTTAAAACTTAGCTTTAACCAGAAGCTGGCTGATTTAAACATCTGGTACAGAAAAAAACAAACAAACAAACAAACAAACAAACAAACAAAAAACACTGGGAAGCTTATTGGCTAACAACTAGCATGCTAATTCTCAGGATTTCTTTTACCTGGTCTCTGAACAATAAGGAAAATACGTACATACATACATACATACATACATACATACGTAAGTAGGTAAGTAAATAAGTAAGTTTTAAGTAAGTAAAGTATGTAAGTAAGTAAGTAAAGTAAGTAAGTAAGTAAGTAATAGCCACCCACTGCTGGTTGAAGCTGGTATAGCATGCTAATTGTCAGCCACTTAGCTCCCCAGTGAATATATTTTTCACCTGTGTATGTCCATGCACACTGTTAAGTAGTAAAAAATAGATAGAGAAAAAGTTCATCATGAACTACACATCACGGTGCAGAGGTTATATTCACTAATACCTGTCATTAAGTCTTTGACAGTAACTAATTATCTGTTAATTATAACGTTATGGAATGAACAAGTTACCTGAAACTGAGAACACCATCATGGTTGGAATACCAAAAACCATGTCAAATTTATTCAAACTTGTCTTTAGGTAGGAATAACATAAAGAAACAAAAGCTCCAGGTGAAATAAACATTTAAGAAATGAAATCTAACTATCAAACAGCTAACTCACTTTCCCGGTATACTTTGCAAATAACAGAAAATGACTGTAAAATCCAACATTTTAACTTTTAAGAACTTTGACCTGTTTCTCCCAGGCCATGTTTTACAGCCATCTCAGTGTCTCTGCTCTAAATTCACGAGTTTTTTACAGTGTAAAAATATATATCTGATGTCAGATTCTTTACCTTTTTGCTAAGTCATTTGGTGAATGCAGAGATATTTTGGTGAGTGAAATTAGGTAAAAAAGCCAGTTATTTCTTGAGGCACTTAATTTTCCAATCTATAGACCGTGACATTGAACTTGCCTGTGCAAACAATGTTAAATGCTCTGATAAATCAGGCACCTAGTATGCCTCAGAAAAGATATGTAGTGGCTGGAGCTCAAAGCATCTCCACTTTATAAGGGAGCATGCTTGGTAGACTTTCGTGTGCTTGTCTGCCAGATAGAAATAGCTTTCACATTGCATAATGGCAGTTTAGAGGAAATTATGTTAGCTACTCTGAAGCCTTCAAAAATAAATGCTCTATTATAAATAACAAAAGATAGCTCTCACTTAGGCAACCATTGTTTTCCTTGTGTTAGCTCAGTAAGTAAATTCAGAAGTGCTTAGATTCTCGGCTCCGTTGCTCTTGTGCCAAAAGACTTTTAGCTTTAGCCTCTTGTACAGTCTGGTCTCCTTTCCCCAGTACATCCTAAAGCTGTTTGCTTAATTTTTAACCCACATCCTTTCCTTCAAACGCGAGGTTTATTTTTAGTTGGCCGAACTTTGCTGTGCGTCATGGTTGCCAAGGGAACCATCAGATGAATGAAGTATGTTAAGCGGAGAGATGCAGGGCCTGGACGAAAGCCCTGCCAGCTCTGCAATGCCTCGGCCACTGCTTCCAGCAAATACCTCCACACAATCAGATCAAATAGGTGATCTCAGTTACGCTAGCGTGTAATATCAATTTCCGGACTCGTTCCGTGATTGAATCTAAGCACTTCATTGACTCAAAGGTAATGAAATGTGTCAGCTAGTGCTGCAGTACTCCTGTGATAGATTTATTTCGTTGAACATTAACTTACATTTACTTGCAGTTACATTTACTGTTTTGTCACTCAGGAAGACAATAGTCCTTTAACACATATAGAATTTGTGAGCTAAGCCTTATTAAGATCTTTCACCACCATAATCAGATTAATCAGATCTATCTGACAGGTTTAGCCTGAGAAATTGCCTTGATGTGCATGAGAGGTAATATTATTTAACATATGAAAGAGCTGGACGTTGATACATACGTTATTACAAACTCGTTCCCAAAAAAGTTGGGATTGTATGTGAAATTCCAATAAAAACAGAAAGCAGTGATTGGTAAATTCTGTTTGACCTGTATTAGATTGAAAACAGTACAAAAACATGACATTTTCTGTTTTATCTTATTTATTTATTTATTTATTTATTTTTTATTTATTTATTTAATATAATACACTATATTCCAAATATTATGCCTACAACGTGTTCCAAAACATTGGCACATAAGCATGTTTACCACTGTGTTACATCACTTTTTCTTTTAACAGCATTTAGTAATCGTTTGGAAACTGAAGACATCAATTGATCTAATTTTGAAAGGAGATTTTTTTGCCATTCTTAAGTTATAACAGTCTTTAGCTGCACAAGCGCAGGGAGCCTTTGTTGCAGTATTTGGCCCTTCATAATGCGACATAATACACTCCCCATACCATGACAGATGCTGGCTTTAAAACTTTATTCTGGTAAGAATCTGAATGATCCTTTTCTTCTTTGGACCAGAGAACGCAACGTCCATTATTGCTTTAAACAGTCTGAACAAATGACCAATCAGAGTACAGCACGTTTCCACTGTACATTGGTCTATTTCAGATGAGCTCAAGCCCAGAGAAGTTGACGGCGTTTCTGCATGTTGTTGAGATATGTAGATAGGGCAGTCTGAACCTGCATTTGTGTATGCAGCGATGAACAGTGTTCACTGACAATAGTTTGTCAAAGTGTTCCCAAGCTCATGTGTTCATATCCATTGCAGAAACATTCTGTTTTTTAATGCAGTACCGTCTGAGGTATTGAGATCAGAGGCGTTCATTGCAGTTTTTGGCCTTGCTTTTTACACACAGACAGATATTTATGGTCTTTTGATGATATCATGCACCATAGATGGGGAAATACCTAAAATCCTCACAAACGCTAGTTTAGGAATGCAGTTCTTAAATAGTTAGACTGTTTTTGGCAACGTGGCGAGCCTCGACCCATCCTTGCTTATAAAGCACTCCAAGCATGATTTCATTGCCTCCTTTAAAATGTTTGCCGAACATTTAACAATGTTCCTCAATTTTTGGAATGTATCACAGGCATCAATCTCAGAAAGAGTGTATATATACAAAGAAACAGTAAAGTTGATAAGATAAAACATACTGTCACTGTTTTCTGTTTTTATTTGATTTCACATACTGTCCCAACTCTTTTAAAACAGGGTTTGTAGCTTTTGTGTTGAAAGTAAATGTATGCAGCAATCATAAAACCCCAACTCCGCTAATATACATTTTATTAACCCTGAAAAGCTGAGTTATTGTTATGCTATAAAAAAGTAATAAATTATTAAAGTACATAGTTATTACATTGTTTAATTTTGTAGTTGAACTGCATAATGAATTTTGTTTGCGTTCAATTTACATTTTGTTCAACAGCTTCAAATCTGCACTTATGACTTATTTATTCTTGTTTCAGTGTCAGAAAATGACAAAAAACAGCACTATGTACAACAATAACTAACATCATAGTAAAATATCTCCTACTCACAAACACAAATGTGGTATTGATTGTAAAGTATAGAATCAGCACTTCTAACAAAAATTGTTGTTTCATTGAGCTACGAGTGTGAAAAAATCACCATCAAATTGCATGCTTTTGTTATTGCCAGTGACAACTATAGCTTCTAAGGGTTAATGTTTACATCACAGCATTTCATCCTCAAAATCTCATTATCACTGTGCTGTTTTACCATCTTTTTAACGACTTTTCCCCTCTGTGGTAAAAACCTAACACATCTCCACTTTAGGAATTGACCAAGAGGGAAGACTTGCATGGCCAGCTGAGCTGTATTCAGCTGCCAATAGACTCAGGGGTATGTAGCACTCCGCATGATATAACCCAGTGAGACTAACCAGGAGGACCCCGGCGTTTGTGGACGATGTCACTTGTGGTTGTTTTGTAGAAGCAGATTCAACTCAAAGTCCCTCTTCAGGTTCACTTGCTCAATGCCCGCAGGCAAAGCACAAACCTAGCAGAGCCTCTTTATTTTATCTGGCCGAGAGGACGTGTTTGGGCTTATGGAAAGCCACAGTGAAATCAGGCAAAGCCAGCCAGACTACCGAACAAAAGCAAATAAAAGGAATGGGAAGTCACTTTAAATGGACTTCAAAATCACTCTGCCTAAGACGCTTCAGAGCGCTATTCCCACAATCGAGAGTGTTTTGTCCTCCTTACTGTTATTTCTGTTTGCTAACAGAGCTCTTCACTGCACGCTGTCATTAGTAAGACTACAAATTGTACTGAAATAATCAGACACTGAGCTTGGAACCTGGGCAATCATGAAAGCAATCAGCTCTTGACCCTGTTGAGGAGACTCAGTCTGTTTTTGTTTTTATTTATTTTATTTTTTTGGTTTTGTTTTTGTTTTTTTTGGAAATCATCTACTTTATTTTTCCATCCATGCAGCTGTGCTAGGTGACACAAGCAGTGGGAGGTCATTACGAGCGATTGGTGCTATACACCATGTCTGCTAAACGGCTTGTAACTTTTGTTGATCCTCCTGAGCAAATGCGGACCCCAAACGTCTCACACAAAAGCTTTTAACACAGTTCATGTGAGGACTTGCCTATTATAATAAGCTGAGCAAGTCTGGTCAAGTTTCAAAGTCTTTCCCCAGAGTGTCCCCAAAATTAAGAGCTGTTTTTGTGAACAAATTATTTGTCCAAATTTTGTACCTAATGAAGTCCCAGCTGGTTATCTTATCAGTGATCCCGGTGGTTTTGGGAGTTCAAACTTCAAACTTCCCGTAGTTGAGATATTCAGGTCCCATATCTGTATTTGCAAAAAATTGCTCCAATTAAGCACCCACCCACACTTCGTGGCAAGTTTTATAATGCAATGAATAGACATGTATTATATGAGGAAAACCATTCATTTCTGAGAATTTAATGGTTTGTGCTTGTATGCCAGTCTGTTTGGAGACAGTCACCGCCTGCCCCTTCTATTACAGCAATACAGGTTGAACTGGATCACAAAAGACCACCATGGTTAACCCCTTAAACCCCACAGCAGCCTTTGCTGACCACCCCCTGTTTTTTTCCCTGTAAGGACTGTGGAAAACCATAATTTACTGAGCTGAATTCTGACAGAAAACTGGAGTCCATTGACACTTGACAAGATTTTCATTTTTGATGATTAGAAACTTCATTCTTAATCAAAATATTCCAGTTTCCATTTTGAATTCTCCAAAAAGACCAAGACATACAGCGTTTAAAAGAGTGGTGAGATACAGAGATGGAGGAATCTTTCTGAATTTCCTGCTTACTCAAATAGCAGTAATGACAGAGAAATAAGTCCAAGACATGATTACATTTGAATCTTTGTTTAGCAATGTGATTTTCATGGTTATTTTTACTATTTTACGGAATGAATGGCCCAAATTCTTTATATAACAAGTGAAATAACTTTGGCAAGTGAGCATAAATCTTGTCATTGCAACTGAATTGAATTGCTTACAGTGGTCGTGATAGGAACCAGACAACTGAAAAGTGTAACACCTCTAGAACTGCCTGATGCCTGAGACATGTTTAATATTTGTTTTAAGCACATTCATGTTGGAGAGGTATGTGCAGGGTGTTGTAAGGCAAAATAGTACCTGAAGAAAACATAGATTTTTAAAATTGACCACTGTTTTACCATTGTAAACATTATATACAACTCTGAAAAACAAGTTGGTTCACTGGTTGTTTTTGAAAATAAATAGAATGGCTAGTGACTCCTGATCTCCACCACTATAAAGAAATCAAAGTCAGTACGTTTCTCTACATTTAACTATTTTGCTTCAAACCACTCTGAATAACTTTGTCAGTGCCTCAATGATTGAATCATACAGAAATGTTGAAAAATCTGTGGAATTCCATGATTTTTTTTTAGGTTTTTGCTGGTTGAACCTTAAAATTTGACAGCTGATACATTTATTTGTCTGCAACTATCAGTCATATCGGTCAGTAAAGCAATGATTAACTCAACCTTTTGAATTTTTGACCATTTAGCAATTACAACTGGTCACCAGAATTGTCAGGTCCTATTTTCCTAGACACTAAAAGTGAAAAGGTCAGTGAAAGCTCCAGAAGCCAGTGCTCTCTGAGGCTATTGTCTTACCGTTCCGCCTGGTCTCTCTGCTCAGAAAGGCCATGTGGGAGTGAGGAGTCAGATAGCTGAGCCATGGCCAGACAGGGCTTCCCCCCTGCCCGCTCCACACCGGCAACCTGAGCCATCTCTTGGGCCCAGCAATGGGCACATCGTGAGTAACCACAGAGGGGTTGCTGAGAGCTGCTAAAGCTAAAGGCTAACAGCAAACAACAATTTGCTGTGTCACTCTGCTGAGTTCAACCTATCACAGCTGTGCTTCTCTTGTTTTAGTTTTCACTCAGGGGCGGGGCAAAATCCCTTCCCTCGTCTTGACTTATAGATCTCAGCTCCAGAACCTTAACAACTTTTGAAATTTCTTTGTTTTTGTTGCCGTCTTATTAGCTTTTGCTGTTGTGTTCTCCCGTATTGACAAATCCTGTTCACTGTCCCTTGTTTTAGCCATGTGAAATAAATATTGTTTTATTGTGATGTGTTAAGCACATGAGTTCAATGTGATCTCAATGGTTTCAGACTCAAACTTCTGCCGTCATCCATTCATAATTCTCTTGCTCTGTTGCAGAGAAAGAATTGCTCCGAACTTAGAGTTTGGAGTGGATTGTTCGAAAGTGAAACCAATGGGAGACATTGTCCTTTGTAGTTGGAAAGGTTTGTCCGAATGGTACCCGCCATCTCTTCCTCTCTTAAGCTTCATAGAGCAGTAGGTATGGAAATCACATACCGAATGGGATTGCAAAATAATTAGCTTGGCATCAGTTCCATGGCCAAGTGCTCCACTGTTAATTGGCTGGTTCATTAGGATGCCACTTTCCCAGTGCAATTTTCTGCAGCTTTTCATGTTCGAAATCAAGCAGCATCCAGATGGACATATGCATCTCTGAAGGTCATTTTTAAGCTTGGAAAACACAGAAATGATAAAATGTCCCCCTTGAATCCAGGTTGCTTCGGCCTGGCTTCAGCTTGAGGTTGAGAGAGAAAGATAAAGAAAGGGAGTGAGAGAGAGAGAGATACTTAATCGGTGCTGCTGTTCTGACAAACCACCAGGGTTGACATATTTTGTGCTAGACCACACTGAAACACCGGGTTTTCTTCAGACTGGAGGGGGAGCTGGATATGGGCAAAATAAAGAGGCGAGCCCCCTGGTAAAAATAGCTGTGTTTATTTCTACAGCCTGATTATTGGACGTGCCTGCTGTACTGAAGCTGCTCCTCCAGTGGGCTGGGAAAAAAATACAAAAACAAAACCCACACATATTCAACACCATGTGGATTCGCCTTTACACAAATAAAACAGATGGTCTGATCATGAGATCACCCTTTCAGAAATACATGCGAGTGATACATCTGACAAATATTTAGTCCTCGGATAAGCAAACAGCTGATAGAACGATGGCAGTGGTTTCAGAGTGGTACTGCAGGCTGTTACTTGTCCATGCATGCAGGCACTACATTGTTGTGGACTACTCAGACCAGGATGGCTCTCCCATGGACTCCAGTGACCCTCTGGCCTTTACATGTGAGGGCTGCTGGGGTGGGAAGGCCAAAGCCACACTGACCTGCCTGTCTTTGACCCTGTTCTGCCCTAACTCCAGCTACCACCTGTCTGCTGTCCTCTGTTGATGCTTGCTCTCTTTCTCTGTGTAATGAAGGGGGATGCCTCAAAGTCGGACTCAGAAGCAGACTTCTATGCGCGGAGCATCGATGACGTGCGTGGAAGCAAAAAAGACGTGTCAGCTTCTTCAGGTGAGACCTAGTGGCACAAGCTGCTTTGCCTTAATATGAAAGTAGTTACACCAGCATTGTGCTAGAAGGCATCTGTAGCTCGAGTGGCCTGTAGAACAGAGGTTCCCAACCACTAGTCTGTGGACAGGTTCCATGCTGTGGATTGTTTGATAGTAGGGCAGCAGTGAGAAGTAGCCCAAACTGCTGAAATCCACTACACAGTTGTATGCAAAAGTTTGGGCGCCCCAGCCAAATGACATGTTTTGTTTGTTTTCTAAGTGAAACACATCCACCACAGAGAACACACTTCTACACATTCTAATGCACAGTTACTGTTTTTTGCTGATTATTTACTGTTTATTTGTTGAATTTAACACACTGGGGAAAATATAAACAGTGCAAAAGTTATGGTCATTTTATATTATATGTCATATGTTATATATCATATATAACATTTTATATGTTTATGTTTTTATCCCTAACCTGTTAAACCCTGAGCATTCCAGATTTATTGTATACATTATTCAGTACTACAGGAACTCCAATGCAAACTAATGGAGCTATTCTTAGGTTATAGAAGTGTTTAATGGCTTGTTAAGGGGTTAAAAGCAAATAAATTAACATTAAGCTCTAACCTTGCAGAAAATGCCATTTTTAAGTTTGTTCCCTGTAGAGGGTTCACTTATTTTCACTTAGAAAATCAACAACACATATGATTAGACCAAGGTTATTCAAACATTTGCATATGACTGTATTAATAGTAATGTAACTTGTAACAGCTTTCAGTTGATGTCAAGTGTCAAGTGAAGATGTCAAAAATGAAGAATATCCATTTATAACTTTAACAGACTTTTGTATTGGTGCTGTTAACCCCAAAATAAAAAAAAAATAAAAAAAGAAAAAAAACATTGAAGACAAGATCGAAAATGATCCCAGGAGAAAAAGGCAAAAATGTACTGACAGCTACATAAAACACAGATTTGTTGCCACTGCGGTTGATAATCTGGCAAAACCATTCTGTGTTATGCTGAGAGAAGCTAGCCTCCATGAGGTTATGAAGCTGTTCAATTACTTCACCATTTGGAGACGAAATGTTCTTTGACAATGGCAAAACATGACCCCTAAGCTCCAGCACCCACGCTGTTGAAAAGGTTGGAAACCACTACTCTAGAAATGTATTACTCTGACCAGCACTCTGCAAGCCAGTGGTGTTACTAAAATTTTATGGGTCTAAGTACACATTGCTGTGTCTCAATAAGTTGGTGCTCGAATGTAGGCAAGAAATGCATTATGTTATTGTAAATGCACTGAAATAAAGGTTCTTAAATGATTCTTGGCTAGGGCATATGATTCAAGGGGAAAAAAAAACTTTAATTGGTATGAAATCTTTACATTATGTTGAAGTTCTTTACATTTTAAAAAGGTTCTTTAGATTCACACATCTCATTTACAAAAATGATTCCATCCATTGAAATGTTCCAAAAGTAGTTCTTCCATGGCATCACTCCATAGAGCCTTTATTGGCACCTTTATTTTTAGACAACTCATAAGTCAAGGGTATAAAATTGTGTAAGTAGTGATATAACAAGTCCAATAAAGACTCTAAGGGACCAAGTCTGCACTACGGCCCCAGTGTGATTGTCTCCGTTTAGATAGCTTACTTTATTTTCTTCCTGCTCCTTTGCTGTTTGGAGTACCTGCTCTTTTCTAAGGGCTAAGGGCACTCTGAAATATTTATGTTAGAAGAAATGTAGCTCATGTATTTTGCAGTTATCTGTCATGTTTTCTGAGGAAATGTGATGTTGAGTGGGTCTACACTACCTCCTCCTGTCTTTCTGATTGTAGTCGTGCCCATCAATGGTCATGTGGATCTGAAGGCCAGCCTCACGCCGCCTCTTATCACACACACTGCTGCCACACCAATGCCTGTCCCTAAGATCTCAGGAGGAGGAGATCCCCACTTTGGGCCACGAGTCCCGCAGGGGCAGCAATGTGTCCATGGACCCCAGCTGCCATGAAAAGTCTCCGGTCAGTACAGAGGTTTCTGTGATGGTGCCAGTTAAGATCAGTTTGAAAACAGTTTGATGAATCAACAGCAATATGCAGTACGCCCCCAGCTGTGAAAACAGTTCACACCTCTCCACAAAGACGGCTGTGCTGAGATAAAACAGACAACACAACTGTAGCTGTCTTGATTTTAAAATGTTATGTGCTGCCGCAGTTAAAAAATATCATTTACGCACGATAAAAACATGTTTTTAATTGCTGACTTGCTTGCCTGGCCTACAAAGACAAAAATCCAGAAATCATACACATTTCCATCGAAATACATTGCGTATGGAAGGGACCTCCAAAACAAGCTGAAGTTGCATGGTATGACTACTCTGAAAAAGGGGTTAAGAGAAAGCCTTTAAAGGAAAGGTCTGGTGAAAAATCTAATTTCCCCTTATGAGCAGACCTGGAATATCAAGTTATCGGCCCCTGGGCACAAATATTTGGTGGACCCCACTCTGGCTACCTTTTGTGGGTGGTCAGTGAATATTTTAATATCACAGCAGGTTACACAAGGCACCATAATGTGCAGTGTACTAACTGCAGTGTTGTGCACATCACCACTATAAGTGCATTTTTTTCTCCAGTTGAGACAAAATGATAGCAAGATTACTTAACTACTTAATTACTTAACAAGAATAACAACTAATGCAGCACTTCCCTATAAAGCATGTGTCTACTCTTGACACGCAACACAATTATCCCCATTGAAGATGTCATAAATTAAAACAGCTGAAATGTACCTCTAGATGGAGCAAAGCAGCAAACTTAAAAGCCAAACTATCATGCATTCTAGCTAAAGCATACTGCTACAGTGGGCATGGATTTTTTTTCCCCTCATTTATATCTTACAGACAAGGGCGACAAGGATGATGCAACTTTTTTTCTTTAGCTCCGGCTTTGGAAATGGGCATGTTTCAGGTTTCGCTTTTATTAAGATCCCCCAGGCACATCTTTTGAATATCTGGAGCTTCAAATTCGAAGTACGTTCAAAGGAGGAACACTAGCTCTCTGCTAAAAAATCTGAAAGCTTGATCGAGGTAAAGTCAGATAGTGGAACGGTTGCTAAGCAATGATTGGATGAGAAAATGAAGCAGACGTTTGGGAAAGACATCGAGAGCTTCAGGATAGCGATGAGCCATAACACAATGACATTTTCTTTTCTCTTCCACTGTGGCGCTAGTAAAGTTCCCACTGTGAATAAAAACAGCTGTTTAGATTTTCTCATAATTGCTCGTGGGGGCTCCCTGGTGGCTCGGCCCCTGGGCACATGCCCATAAAATGCAAACTAGTCAGTGTGGTTTTAGTCACAGGATGACTTACTGTGAACGATAAAAATTAACAAAACTTTACTGGGCATCCGTTTCAGACAGCATCAGGACTTGTATTCACAAAGCAGGACTGATTTTGGATCAGATTCCTCAATATTTATGACTGTCATTGTCACAAAACTGATCATAGATCAGCACTCAGTTCACAATCAGTCATACTGCGTTCTAAACCACATCACTAAGTCTGTGTGACCAGTCAAGGCCTGGTTGCTGTTTGAGTGAATAAAGAGACATTGTGATAATATATTTTTATGGAAATAATTTGGGCTGCTTGGTTGGCTATTGAATTCTAGTGTTTGTTAGCAATGTTAGCCTTGTAGTCTAATCTAAAGAAGCAAAATTTCAGACTCCAAACGTGCAGAAAATTCTTTACATTTGATTTTTGGCTGAACTTTTCCTTAAACTTTTTAAACAATGCACACTAGCAGTTGCAACACAAAGGGCCTCATGATTGTTGAATTACCTCATCAAAGCTGCCTCAGCTCAGTGACAGCATTCCAAGATCATGTTATTGAATAAGAACAGTAAATTAAAAGCAAAGTTAGTTATTGGAAACTGATGAAGAAAACACTTGTACTAAAAACACTTTGAAAGTGTTTGTTCTGTCTGTTTTTGTTTAAAGCTAGTGTGATTCCCACATGATTAGACAATTCTGTAACTATAATGATTGAATGACCCCACCTCACCTGCACTGCCCTTTCCTTCTGCAGTCAAGTGCACGTAGTTCTCCTCACGCCCCCTGGAGCTCAGGCAGCAGCTGGAACAGCCGGCGTTCCAGCTGGAACAGTCTGGGCCGAGCCCCCAGCCTGAAGAGGCAGAAACGGCAGTCTGGCGAGCGCCGCTCCCTGCTCTCCGGAGATGGCCAGTCCAGCTCGGACGAGGATGGGGGCAGAGGGGGTGGAGGGGCCTCAGAGGGGGATGATGCCTCCCTGTCCAGGACAGACTCTTTTGGCCAAAGGCCCCGGCACAGGCGCATGGAGTCTTTAGAGACGCGCAGTTCCTTTGACCTGCCGCCGGACACTCTGCAGGTGCCCTACCTGCATCGGTCCGCCAGCATCCACAGCACACGCCCACCCAACCTGCTCAGCAATGGCAAGAGCTCACCCACTGGTGCCACCACCCAGTTGTCACTGGACGATCACCATAGCGAGGACGACAATGGTGACGATGAAGGAAACCTGGTGAGAACGCCCACATCTGCACCTGGGGTTTTTATAAAATAGTGCTGGGCTCTATGATCAAATGTAGTGATGTTGCTGACTGTGAAGGAGGACAACAGTGTCTCCTCTTCAAGCTTCAGCTTAGCTTGTTTTATAACATCTTTAGGCCTGGGTGTAAATGCACTAGCATGTTTGAAAATCAGTTACACGTGTTTGAGGTAACTTTGATAAAACTGCTTAAACAGGTGAACCAAAATGTTCTACACACCATAATGTTACTAATAGAGGGTGGCCTTTTGCAGGTTGCATGAAAAATCACTTTTTCAAGCAATTATAGTAAGTCAATGAAAATGAGTTTGAGTGTGTGCAAAGTAAAATTGTTGTGAAATTTATGTGGTAATGCTTTCCTTTACAGTCCCTTGAGTTGTAGGCATTAATTAGGAAAGTGTGAGGTACAAACTTCAGAGTACTAGGCAATTATTTTGGATAACATATTGGTGAGTTCCAAGGCGGTCTAACTAAATTACACTGAAATACCCAAATGTACTAAGTATTAACTGGGTAAATGTGAGATACAGTCTCCAAAGTGCCATGCAATTATGTCGGGTAAAAACTACAGGGTAGTTATATGGTGTAAAACAATTGTGAACGAAGTGGAAAGAGTCTAAAGGAATCTATTATCTAGAAATGAAACTGAATCTGAGCTGTAAAAGAAAGCAGTGATTCTTACTGTGATCTTACTGAGTAAACTATATTTATATTTTGTCCTTTCAATTTATGTGATATACCTTGCCTAGTACTTGGAGATGTTTCTAATTTACTTCACTGCTTAAATGTGCATTATGTTACCCAAGAAATTATCTAGTACGTTGGAAACTGTACCACACACTTACCTGGTTAATACCTGCAATTTAGGGGACTCTAAATGAAAGCATTAGCATTTATTTTTCTTTTTGTTGAACGTACACTGAAGTAAATAACATCCCACAATATCAGCTCAACCTACAAGCTACTCTGCAGTAATGTTGGATCTGTTTTGTGTGTAATGAGTTTATTTCTTTAGATTGCATAATAGCAGAAATTGGTTTACATTCCACTTTTTCCTTCTTCTTTTTCTTTAATTGACTTACATACCAATTAAAAACGTTTTTCCAATGCAGCAATCTGTGAGACGAACAGTGAGTGGTATATTAATCAGTAGCACACTCTAAGGGTAATGCATTAGATTATGCAACAGACTTCAGTGTAAGCAAAGGATTGAACTTGAACAACTGCTACTTTCGTGTACTAGATGAGGAGACATGGAGAGAGAAGATGTCTAGCCATTCACCTGTAAAAGCACACAAGCTAGAATTAGCTAGCTAGCTATGTCCAGGGCTGAAATTATGGAAAGGAAAAAAGGCAGAGAGTTTGAAGAAAATGTTTGGTAGGTCAGGGATAATTAAACTAGAGTGATCCTAGAGTGGTCAGCTTGAATTAAAAATCCAAACACGTTTTTCTTCCTTAATTTGACAGATTTCCGAGTGAAACAGGGCCGTGGGCTGTGAAATAACTGTGGACCTGACGTGATTTTATTCTTCAGCATTTGACTGGATCATGAAAAGCAGGTCTTCAGAAAGGAATACAGAGTCAGACTTTCTGTCTGTTTTGCAGAAAAGCCAAAGAAAAAACTGATTTTGTCAAGAATGAAGTGCATTTTGATCTGCATTTTCTGTAGTACCTGAAACAGGATCCATTATTTGTTGAAAGCTTGATTTTAATATTTTTTTTTTCTTCTTACACTTTTAAATGTATGAGGCAAGGCACCAGTTAGCAAGCTAGCCTTTTAGCATCCATATTCCTTTTGCTTTTCTTATATTTTCATGGCAAAAGTAAGTGAAAAAGGACAAAAATGTTATCGCTAAAATAAACCTGTGTACTAATGTAACTACATAATGTGTATGAGCAAGAGATGGACTGTGTGTGTTTGCACACGTTGCTTCATCAGCAGCATCGCGGCAGAAAACAGCGCAAATACTACTGTATACTTGAACTCCTTTACTTTTGTTAACATGAACGCAGGTTGCCAGTGTAAACAAACTGAAATAACATCAGGCTCCTGAAATGATTTAGCTGACATACATGTATGTGCAGCTGCAAAGGAAGGTGATGACGGGTCTTCTTGCGCGATGATAGGTCACATGTTAAGATATTATTGGTTAGTACAGTTTTTCCCTGCCACTGGATCATGCTGACATGCTCAAACATCAGATGCCATTTAAAGGAGGGCAAACGTGAAGAGAAGCCAAATTCCAGAATTTTGTGTTTTAAATGATATGGATTCTGCTTAACACGATCAAGGACATGAACTAATAGGGTAAAGAAATCCGTCTTGAAGTGTATAATCTAAGAAAGCTGAATTCTGGAGATTTTTATTTAGCTTGAGTCACAAACTACTTTTTCTAGCAAGAAAATATGTGAATATACTTCACATCATTCACATTTTAGCTCTGGTTAAACACCTGTAATGAGTACTTACTGATCTGAATTGCACTCTGAATGAGCTCAAGCTCTTACTTGGAAAAAATCACAGTGCATCCAACAGTAAAGGAAGTCTCATGCATCTTTTATACAGTGATAGGAACATTGTAGTACACAGAAACTGATGATTCATGCTGAAACATTTTACAGTGGCCAATGTGGACATACACAGATTTTATTGAATTAAAGAGTCCATCAGCAGACGCTCTGAATGTGGTGCTGAAAGTAGTGCGTCGTTTGGTTTCAGTGTTAAATAAAATTTTAAAAATGCAATCACAGTGTCAATATCAGGCAACATTCATACTCATAGATTGCCTCTCAGACAATCACAATGTAACATCAGAACTTACATATTATAATTGGTTTAATTATAGATGATTATCAGTACAAAACTTATGGAAATGTATGTGATGTAGTTTGGCTGTATTTGGCCTTATTTGTTTTTCTTATTTTCTCATTTATCTGCAGAGTCGGCGAGCGCGACTGTACCGCTGGTTCGAGCGGAAGCAGCCTGAATGGTGCAGACAGAGGAGCACCTGGTCTTTGTACCTGTTTCCTCCAGAGTCCAGGTGAGGTTATGCCACTGTACTGTTATGCAACATGCAAAAATGCCCTTCTTGTGAACTTGTAGATGCTTCAGAAGCACTACATGTTGGAGCTATGTGTTTTGGAACTAAGCTCTCCAGAGCTGTAGTTTTAGTAGGTTTTGTGCTGATTCCCATATCGCTCACAGACACTTTGCCACTTTTGGGCCAGAGGAGACTCTCCAAGCTTTCAGCTTGTCACCCATGCACATGCAAACCACTGCCCAGTCCACTCAGCCTTGCCTTCCCATGCTTCTGAAGTATGTGTCTACTTGCATTAGGCTTCATGTAGAATGCATTTATTAAAAGGAAAGAAGATGGGAGAAAAAGCCAGCTTTGCACGGTACACTCTGCCAGCGCTTTACTAATTAAACATCAAACAGAGACAGATCATCCTCCTCCTCCTTCAGTGAACCCAGAAAAGATGCAGCCTCTGACCATGCTGCATTCAGGAGCTTACTCTTAGTATACACTGAGCACAGCAGCACAGTTCGCATGTCTTTAACCTACTATAATGTGAATTCTTGCTTATGTAAAAGTCTAAGCTTGATAACGTTTGTCATCTTTTTGGAATCACGACAGAATCATTGAAATTCTGCTGTAGTCAAACTGCAGAAAAGTTAGCTGCTTATCTAAGGACTGTGCTGTAATGTACCGCCTTGATGGGCATGTTTACTGCTGCGAATCAGGGATTGCCTTGGTCTACTTTCTTCCCTTTTTTGGCTCAATGTAGCCGTTCCTACAGAGCGAGAGATGGGAGCTGAGAGAAGGAGGTTGGCATGACAACGCTTTGGAGTTGCCGTGTCCTCCTGTGCATAAATTCCTTAATAGCAGGCCAAGTCTGAAAGACATTAAAGCACCCTGAACTTTATTTATTCATCATAGGAATCATAAAGTCAGTGCCACTGAAGGCTAAACACACGTCTTTATGTATTTTTAATTTGTGTCTATTCAGAAATGTATTGCTTATGATGCAGAGTCTGTACATCGCGATATCTCTGTGTTACATATGTTAACCCATTCATGCCATACAGTACTGTATAAAGTTATGGAGCGTCCTTTCATTTATGTAATTTCCAGACCAAATGACCATGTAATGTAAGTTACTCAGTGCAGGAAATATTCAACAGAAAATTATTCAACAATAAATATAATATGAATATTTTTAATGTTTAATGTGTCCACCGTTTGCATTTATCACAGCTTATGTTGTTTTCAGGAGACTTGCTTTCAGTTTTTGAAGAAATGGGCAGGAATATTTGTCCATGCTTATTATAAATACCTTTAAAGTTCAGTATTAGAAGTTGGTTGCATTTTCTTCTTCTCACCACCCATGTAATCCCAAACACATTCAGTGAAGCTAAGATCTGGACTCGATGTTTTGATGTTCTAGTGTAATTTTCATCCTGTTTTGTCTACATATCAGACTCGTAGTGTTGAGTTGTCTTCTCACAGTGGAAAGAAGGATGAATTAATAGTGGATTTATTCAGATCTAAAGCTTGATTTTCTCTGAAAAACTTAATTATTTTCTGGAGTCTTTCAAAGAAATCTGCAGGAACACCTTAAAAGTTCAATCTTAGAAGTTGGTTGAATTTTCTGCACATTATATAATGTTGAGCTGTAGGCTCTGGGGTGGTCAGTCCGTTGTTCTAAAAACACCAGCAGCTTTTTTGTTTGATTTGCAAATGTTTGTTTAGTTTTCTTCTCACAGTAGAAGGACTGACAAGCACACGTTTTTTTCATGATCTGAAGCAAGAATGGAGCTTGATTTTGTCTTGAAATCTTTAAGTACAGTTTATCTGATGACAGTTTTGCTGATCTACCAGGTTTAATACTGTTCTTAGGAGTCCTATTTCTCTCTATAGTTTAATCATATTTAAAACTCAAGTTCTGAAAACTTGTCAACATGTGGTTTTTACACACTTCACATGTGAAATACATGTGACTTTTCTGTAAGGGTGATATACATTTTGTGTACTTTTTGTTAAATGTGGTTCCTGCTTTTTTCTGACACTAGAATATAAATAAATTGTACCTAATGGCTATTTTGACTGGACATTGAATAAACGAAACAGTGGTTTTATGACTCTCACATGTCACTGTCTGCTAAGTAACCAACTTAATCATGTTTTGCAGATTTCGTGTGACCTGCAATAAGATCATCAAGCACAAGATGTTTGACCATGTCGTCCTTGTCATCATCTTCCTCAACTGCATCACAATTGCTATGGAGAGGCCCAAGATTGATGCCAAAAGTGCTGTGAGTTCACACATTTGAGATCACAGACTGAAAGCCAGTCACAACATTGCTGTCTCAACATTAAATCAATGTTCAGTGAAGTGATAATTATACTGATAACTGATTACCTTTGACATCACTCTTGGACTGATTGGTGAGAATGTAGCCAGATACGCTCACGGCTAGGTAGCTAAACTGGAGGTTCCCTTGCATTTTAATGACTGAAAAGGAGATAAATGGCTCAAATCAGAGGCTTAGAAAATCTCAATCTCTCTCTCTTTCTTTCTCTCTCTCTCTCTCTCTCTCTCTCTCTCTCTCACACACACACACACACACACACACACACACACACAAAGCCAGATTCTCTTTTAAGCGTGTTGCAACCTGACAGAAGTATTAAAATGCACATATAGTACTCAATTTTGAGCTTACTGTAATTTCCAGCTTATATAATGATGTAATTATTAAAGTTGAATGGTTCCAGGAGGTGTTTTGTAAGCACTCTACGCCTCACAAAACATAAACTGAATTTTAAATTTAATGGGTCCAGCATTTGCTGAGGCTCAGCGTGCTGAGAATTAAAGTTGATTACTTGACACATTTGCTAAAGGAATGATTATGCTGGATTGCGCAGATCTGTGTGTGTGAAAAGATTCCATTTCTTATTCTGGCCGCCTTTTAGACCCAAAGGAGAGATCAGCCTGGCTTAAAAGAGTTGCTTCTCATTATCAGTTTTGCTTGTTTACTGCTTGTGACAGTTACCCGCGCTCTTGCTTGACATGCTGAGCAGCAAAATAGAAGGGATGAAAGCAAAGGTCAGCAGAGTCATGGACATTGTCAGCTAAAAGGATTTAATATGGATTGCGCTTTCGTGCCATCTCATTCATCCCTCTGTTAAGGTGTCAAAAGGAGATGCCAAAATATTTATGATTGTGAAGAGAATGGTAATGTTGCTTGAAGCTGAATATCATCTTTTTACAGCCTTGTCACCTAAGCCATATAAACATGTACAACTGTTGTTAAAGGTGAAATTTCACTGTTTTTTCAACAATTTGAGATAAGATGTAAACAAAGTCAATCAGAGTGATTTGATGTGAAATGCTGTATTGCAGAGAAACTTACAGAATCAGAATTGTTCACAGTGGTGGTGATAGGAACCAGACGTCCGAAGAGTTTGATGCCTCTAAAAGCTGCCTCACAGAAAGTTATTACATGAAATGGTTATAAACGTTGCCTGATGTCTGAAATATTGTTTTATGAGAGTTTTGCAGTTTTGATAGTTATCTTTTAGCCTAAAATGTATTTTATTGTAAAATTTACACATAATGTAAAGGACAACAGACATTTAAAAAAAATCATAAGACATTCACTGGTGTTTTAGAAAGTAAATAAAATGGTTATATTTGTTTTGTGGACGACACAATCCTTGGTGGCTGTCACCACCAATGTAAAGAAATATGAGCCAGTAATTTCCTCTGACATTAATCATTTCACATGAAACCACTGTGGATTTAAAGTTTGTTTATATATAAGGTGGTTGTGAAGTTTCATCAGAGTAGCATAGAAAGGAGCACAGATTTAAATGCCCACAATGACATAATAACAGTGCTACATCTGATTCTTGAAATTCACGTATGTGATGAATCATCTTCAGTTACGTGGAAAGATGCAGCTGCCCATTAGTCCCTAAATTTATATATTATTAGCAAATAACACCTAATTTACCAAATTACAAGCCAACAAAAGAAGTCTTCTAAGAGTCTGTGTACCTGATCCTCGGGTATTTATCTGTTTATCTGTTTACACAAATTCACATTAATACTTACAAATCACGTCGCTGCTGTCGGAACAAAACCTCATATCTCCAAAATGATAAGTTTACAGGAAAAGGAAAGAACTGCTTTACTTTTAATGTAAATCAATGGAACCAGACTTTTTTCCAAGTCATTTTGGGCCAGTTATTTTGGTGCATTCATTGTGAAATTTACACACAATGTAAAGGGCAACTGGCATTTTCAGTTTGTGTCAAAAACGGAAAATGGAGATACGAGGCTTTGTTCTTCAGCAGTGATATGTAGACCACATACAAACTGAATTAAGTGCTGTTTTATTACCTGCATTCCCATGTGTATAATTTTTTATGATGCTAAAATAATGCATTTTAATAATGCGAGTTACATACACTCAGATGAGTGATCAGATATGAATGTGATCTTACAGATACACCATAGAGGACACTTTTACATTCTCTTATTTTACCATCAGATTTGATCTCACAGTCATATGCAAAAGTTTGGGCGCATGTAGTGAAATTAAATGTTTTATTGATTTTCGTAAAAATAAGGTAATCTACAGACAACATATATATTTTTTTGCTATCCACAGAGAGTGCAATTTAATACACAACTGCTATTTATTTACTGAATTTGATATATTGGAAAACAATATAAAGCATTAAATGCATGTACAAAAGTTATGGCACATTTTATGGCTTATGTATTTTTTTCCAATATTTAAACTTATTTTACTATATCATATAAGTATATAAATGGAAATTTGCAATTTGCAGACAAATTCCCTTAAAATATTGTTCCCTATAGAAGATTTGGTAACTTATTATTATAGGTCTGTGCAGACCTCATGATATTCTTGATATGTTTATTTGGACCATCAGTACAGCTATTTATGGAGGCTTTTCTTCTGCTTGATGAAAACATCATTAGCTTTGCCAAGAGAAGGCTTTGCTTTAGCTTACAGCTGACAGTAAGCCAGGCAACCTCAGAAATGGTAGCCGTGATATTTTTATATTCTTTTCATTTAATTGTTAGTTTAGTAGGGGAAAACCCCAGCTTCTTACCAAGATGTTATTCCCAGTGTGGGGAAACATGCAGTTATTACTGAGCTGTCTAAAATGAGACTGAACTGCTCCAGAGGCAAGACTGTGTTTTAGCTGTTGCCCTATTCTGGAAACTCCAGATGAAATGAGTATTATACTGGAGGGCTTTTCTTTTTTAAATAAATTCACTGGGAGTGGAAATAAGAGTCCAGGGAATAAGTGAAATTGCGTGTATTTCTAAATGTCAGTAGAGAGTTGTAATGTAACCAGAGCTCGGTAGTGTGGCTTACACAAATCACAATACTCTTGCTTCAATGAAATGATGACAAGAAGTGAAAGAAGCCAGCAAAAAGATAACTTGGGTAAGAGTGAAAGCATTTAAAATCAAAAAGTCATCAAGTACTGAGTTTCCTATAGAACCACAGCGGAACATAGTACTTCCAGCATTGAGCAACATAGGAACTGAGGTTTAGCTGCAGTTCTTCTCTTTTTGAGATATTTAGGTTTAAAATTAAATGACAGACCTCAGGTCAGAGGTGTGTAAAGCAGTACAGGTGCTATAACTGAATGAAATTAAACATACAAAAAGGAGGTAAGAACTAAATGTGAAAAGTTAAAATAGAACTGATGGAACAGTGAATCGCTTTCCTCAAAGATACACTATAAACCTCAATTCCAGAAAAGTTGAGACAGTATATAATATGCAAATAAAAACAGAAAGCAATGATTAGAAAACACTGTTTGACCTGTACTAAATTTAAAACAGTACAATAACTTGATATTTGATTATTTTATGAACCTCATTATTACTGTTATCTATTTATTTAAACATATTTTTCCTTTGCAAATATACACGCTTTCTAAATTTGATGTCTGCAACATGTTCCAACATAAGTTGGGACAGGAACAAGTTTACCTCTGTGTTTCTCCAAGTTTCTTTGAAGCAACACTTCTCTCTCTGAGTTTTAAAGACACCAGTAGATCCATATTCAATGTAAAGACTTGGGCCTTCGTTGTTGTATTTTCTTGTATTTTGCAGTTTGACTGCAGTGAGGCCAGTCTAGCACCTGCACTTTCTGATTAAATTGTACCTAAATTTGTCTACTTAACATGTCTACTTACTTTGCATGTCTGAATGTAACTTGAGACATTGTAACCATAAAACAAGCAATGCTATAATCTCTGTGTGAAAAGATGGCCCAAAAAATATAATCATACTGACACAGGAAGTATGGGTCACTCATGAAAAAAAAAGTATGATAAACTTTGTCAATAAACTATTTCAGGGGAAAATATACAGAATTCATATAAATAAAGATTATAGAAGGGTTTACAGAAAAGTTACATGCAAAGCTTTTCTTTCAAACATCAACCGTAAAGTAAACTTTGTTTCTGTGGAAAAATCCTGGTTCTGTTCTTTAGCTAGTTGCAAAAAAAATTTTAGAACAAATGCCAATGCCTCAAACATGCCTGTAATGTTAAGTGGCTTTAAAATGAACAGCAGTGTCTCAGCTTGTACAGCAGGGGGGACATATAAATCAGGGCAATATGGACAACACGAAATTAACCGTAATGTTGTTTCTGCCAGGAACAGATGACTAGATGAAAAAAGTTATAATGAAATATTTAGAGAATACACAGTTGAGGTTGCTTCCAAAGACTTTTCATGTAATAAATGATTAGGTTGTAGTTTAATATTATTCACAATGGTCTTGTGGTGTTTAGTGCATTGAACTTTATGACATATGTCTTACTATTATGTAATCAGAAAGTACAGAAGTTCAGTTCAGGCGTGATGTCATTCGGAGGCTGCTTAAATGATTACGCCATCTCCTGCGGTCCGTCTCAGCCCATTTCATATGAAGGATATATGGAAGTGCATACATTTGCATGCATTGCTCTTTCTGTATGCCTTTCTGTCTTGCTAGTTGAGAGATGAGGGTGGCTTTGGTTCCAGAGAGCTGTACCCAGCACTTACGCAATTGTCTCCAGCAGAAATAGGAAAGATGTAGAAAGACCATTTAGCATCACAGATCACAAAGAACTGTTGAAGTAAATAACTTTAGATTTTACTCAATTCTTACTTATATATTTGAGTATATAATATGGATGTAATATTATAAAGTCATGGCAAGGAGCACTGGAAATTGAACAGCATGGAAATGGACTGTGTTCTGTTATTCTG